AAAAGTCCAGCGCACGTTCCACAGGTGGCCAGGTGGCCCCTAGGGTCACTTGTGGTTTGATCTCCAGCCATTTCCCCACTCCTACCCCAACAGAAACTTAGGTGGATGACTAATTAAGAAGTGGGGAGGGACGCGGGGCCGGAGGTGTGGGTTCCCCAAGGCTGTGCCTGCCTAGCCCTTAGACCCCAGAGCTGCGCGTCCCGGTGAGGTTCTGGTGCACCTGTCCGGTTGGCTATCCCTTCATTTGGGGTACCTTTGGGGTGGGTGAAAAGGGGTCCGGATGACTGGATATAGCCTGGAGCAAGTTTTCTTGAGAGACACTTTTTTTAAAAAAAAAAAGTTTGTCCAAAGTTTAGCTATTCGCTCAATCGGCTTCCTAGAGTGGGTTTTCTGTTCTTGGACTACAGAATTGCGGGGTGATGAGTAAGATAACAATTTTCGGTACTAGAGTTTGCCAAAGGTGACCCTGCTAGGCCGCAGAAACCCCAGAGCGGACAGGCACTGGGTCTGGCCTTTCCTGACCCAGAGACCCCGGCCCCCGCCCAGGGAACATGCTTCCACACACTCTCCTTACAGGGAAACAAGGGCGGCTCAAGCCAGGTTGAGGGAACACGCTGCCTCTCCCCGGTCGGGCATTTCATAATAGGAACCGCGGGGCCCTGTTTTTGCCCCAGCCAACGGAGGCCTGGTTAGACCGAGATTCTGTAAGCCACAAGCCTAAGGGGCAATTTGAACTAAAGGCTTCGACCTTCCCAAAGAAAAACCAGAGCTGAAAGCTTTGCTCCTCCCAGGGCAAGGCCCTGGAGTTTGGCTTCCTTTTTCTCTTTTTGCCTGAGAGTTCAGCCTTAAACGTTCTGAGAGGTGTTGTCTTCATTACATGTCCAAGAGTTGGAAAAAGGAACACGTTTTGTATTTGTTTTCCTCTTATATTTATTACTTCTATTTGTTGAATGGATATTTTTATACCCCCTCTCTAGTTAAAACTACTAAATAATATTCCTTCCTCAAACTTAGACTGGCTTTGTTTAAGGATGGAAGGCCCACCCCAATCACAAATGCTAGAGCCCTCTCCCTTCTCTCCCCACACCATGTTGGCTTAGCTCTCTTTCTGGGTGCTGAAGCTTGGGGCAGTTACCACTAAATTCTGAAGAGCTCTGCAGGGCATGAGAAGATGCTCACCACCCAGGGTCGCCTGGGGCTGGAGCCAGACCTCCAGTGAGGCAGAATATGGTTTGAAAGCCACCCATAGCTCCCATAGCTAAGGAATGGTGGATCCGAGGGCCTGCTGCTGAGAGCCTTGTAGTTTGGCAAGTGGCAGGAGCCAGAACCTGGGGGGTGAGCGCCAGTGGCTTTGAGTCTCACAGGACCAAGTCCACCAGGCTTGGTCACTTGAGCATCCCTGACCCAATGGGTGTTGAAGATCAGACAGAAGACCCATCCTGGCCCTTGTGTTTTCTTTGTTTTTCTTGATGTCACTCTCAGTGTAGTTCATTCTCTCAGGTCAGGCCTACAGCCCCTGCCCTAACTCCAGGCTCAGCGCTGCTGGCCCAGGGAGCCAGGGCCCCTGCCCAGATGTAGCACTGACTGCAGTGAGATGAATCGTGGTAATGAAACTCATGCAAGCGTTAGCTTCGTTAGCTTCGCCTGGCTCAGGGGCTACCCGACTGCTCTCCCCAGCCTTTTCATCAGAGCCCACACTGCACTGCGGGCGGCGGCGGCACAGAGCTGCCAGGCCCCAATCTGCACGTCAATGGTGCCCCTGGCGGGAATATAACAACAGTTTAGTAGCCCTTAACTGGGTTTTGAGTCAGAGATCTGCGGGGCACTGAGCAGCGAGGAAAGAGGAGGGGGTGAGGGTCCGGTAGGAGAGGATATAAATCCTTAAGCACCTTTTCCCAGGTCACAACTGAAGGAAAAGAAAGCGAAACTTAAGAGTTCCTTCAAGCACCCTGGCAAGTCCGGGTTCTCAGGATGCAAAAACCCATGCTCTAAGGCCTAAGGAGCGGGCCTACAGGTCATAGGGCACCCGGTTGCGGCTGCCTCTGGGAAAGTGGAGGTACTGGCCCCTCCCAGAGGTTGAGCTCCAGGTTTCAAGCCATTTTGCTGCTCAGCAGATCTTGGGGAAAACCTGGCGGGGTCTTGCTTGGATTGTTGAGCGTTTTCTGGACAGAGTGGGGTGCCAAGCTTCTAGAGCCATCAGCCAAATGACTCCTTAAATGTGAGAAGCCATCTCTAGAGAGTCCTCAGGGCCTTGGGTCTTTGAATTCCCTTGTCACCTCTGGCCTTGTCTCTGGGTTTGGCGGAAGGAGGCTGTATCTTAGCTAGGTAGGGTCTTGAGAAGGAAGAATTGCCCTTCCTCGGCTTTGAGTGGAGAGTGGTTCTCTCTCTCTCTCTCTCTCTCTCTCTCTCTCTCTCTCTCTCTCTCTCTCTCTCTCTCTCTCTCTCTTCTCTTCTCCCACCTGTTACTGAACGCTTGGATTTGATGAAGTCTTCAGTCCCATGATGGATTCACTCTGGAAATGGTGGTGGTGGGGCACAGATTTTTTTTTTTTTTTTTTTTTTTTTTTTTTTGGCGAGGGGAAAAACAAAGAAAAGAGAAACACAAAAACAAATGAACCAGAGGTCTCTGAGGGCTATCTGCTGCTGCTGAGAAGTTCCCCACAATTAACAGGAGAAAGAGGAAAATATTTTTAGAGTGTTAGTGCGGGAAAGTCAGCCAGAGAAGTCCCTGTATATCAAACTATCACATTAAAGTCTTTGGATTTTTTTTCTTACTTTAATTGCTGAAAGGGAAGAAGGGTCCCCTGGTGGAGTGAGTAAGCCCCTGAGGGGAGCTGGGGAGCCTGGAGTGGTCAGCTTGGGTAAGGGGGTGTCTCCTTCGGGTTCTTCACCAGCTGGCCATTGTGCCGCCAACGCGCCAGCGTTACTAACATCAAACCATGAAGGATCGCGTCCTTCTTTAATTAAAAAGGAGAATCTTGGGAAAACCGGAGCCGATTAGCACAGGAAGAGTCAGTTCCCAATGATTTATTTTGATGCACGCATGACACGGCATGGAGTGAGTCTCAAGTACTCATAGGTCTGCTTTTCGGCTAACTCCAGAAGCAGCTATATATATATATATCCATCCAAAATTCCGTGTTCTTGTCCACGTTGCACCTGGAAAACCTTACAGTCCAAACACCCCGACGAATTGTCAGTCCGCTCCAGCTTCACACAAACTGGAGGAAAATCATTTAACCCCCGGAGCTGTCGAGTAACCTCTTCAGGGTACAACTTTTATTTTACACGTAGCAATTAAGAGATCGCAAACCCCAACCGAGCCACCAGAGCCGGTTGGCAGAATCTCCAACCTGGGGAGAAAGCGCAAAGCTAATAAAACTCCCAGGGCGCTGCAGCCCGAGGGGGTAACAGCCGTGAGCGGAGGCGATCTCCAGTTGGACAAAAATCCTGGAGTGACTTTGCTGGTCCTGGTTTGATGGTTACGATTCATTGCGAAAGGGATAATGATTTCTAATAAAATCGGATGGGGACGAAAGGCAGATCGGATAGAGGCGGATGTAGTAGCAGGGGTGAGGTGTACTAAAAGTTGGTCCCCCCCCCCCGCCGCCAGTACCCTGTGTAGTACCAAGCTTTATCCAAGGCATCTTTGGCTGGCAGGATCCGTAGACAGGCGCAGGGGAAAGGGATGAAATTGGGCCGGGGAAGGGACCGCTGGAGCTAGGGACGGTGCTGGAGCTCTGGGCTAGCTGTTGGGCTAGCTTGCAAGCGTGCAGGCGTGTGCTCTGGGAGCAAGTTCGCGGCTTGAAGAGGCCTTTATACCTGGGTCGGAGCGGCCGGCGGCAGATTGTGGTACTGGCTAGCAATTGGACTATTGTTGATATGCTAATGAGGCGATTAGGCTGTTGGTGAAGAGCAGGAAAAGGGAAAAGTTTCTACCATTAGAGGGAGATCTCCGAGCGCACACGGGAGCTCTCTAACCCTTCTCTCCTCCTCCCTCCTCGCCCTTCTCCTCCTGGCCCTCCTCCTCCTCTCCCTCCTCCTCCTTCCTACCCTTCTCCTCCTCCTCGCCCTCCTCTCCTCCTCCTCCTCTTGTGCTCACCGCCCGCAGCCCGCACTTTGCGCTAACCTAGAGAGTAGCTCCGCTGGGGTGCGAGGCGCAGAGGGGCAAATCCGATCACGCCGATCCATGAAAATGCTTTGGAAACTGACGGATAATATCAAGTACGAAGACTGTGAGGTAAGCGCGGCGCCGGCTCAGTCATCCTTGCGACCACAGGCTTGGAGATCGACCCTCCCTCTCCTCCTCCTCTCCACGCAGCTAGCTGCGAAATGCTGGTGAACAAACTTTCACCAGCGCTGCGCCCGCCCCTCGAATTCGCCCGAAGAGCGCCGGGGAGAAGCTGGAGAGGGTGTACATGGGTCTTGCTTGTTTCACTTTTGTCCTTTGAAGCCCATGTCCCACTCCTCCCCCCCTTTTTTTCCTTCTTACTTGTGGCTTTGCCTGAGAGTGGAACGAAGAGATAAGCTTTTTTTTTTTTTCCTTTAAAACAATTGTTGGCAACTGGGCACGTGCCAGTGCACTCTGGTATCTCTTGAGCAAGAATCTGGGGGTATCTACGATAGCAGGAAGAAAAAATAAAAGAAAATGTTTCCCCTTTCACCTCTTCTCTGAGATTAATATTCCTTTTTCTTTCATTCATTCCTTTCTCTCTAAAGAGGTTCCCTTCTTGCATTTGGAGAAGGGCCCACACAGTTCGCCCAGACCTGGGCAGCACCTCCCTGAAAGCGGGTTCGGCTCGGGAGCCCTCACGTCAGCCTATGGGCTCACTCCTCAGGTCCTATATTCCTTGAAGTTCTAAGCAGTTTCTCCCGCCGAGCTACAGGGTGGACACACCCATGGTGGTGGCTGGGTGCAGATGCACTACCGTACTCTCTGAAGGGGGGGGGCGGGGAATCGCCCTGTGCCGGCCGGAGCTTAGCCACGGGACCCTGAGAATACTGGTGTGACTGCCGATCACCTCTGGTTTTCGAGTGCCCGCTGGGACCACAGAGCGCTCCCCTTGGGAATACATTTTAAAACCCAGGACCCCAGAGAATGACTTTTGGGACAGCCAGGGAGGCATAGGAAAAGAACCAACTGCTTGCAGGAGACGGCCTCAACCTTGCTTTTACAAACCCTGCTGAAAGGAGCTGATGAGTGCATGGGGCGATGGAGGGGTAGTGATTATCCAAATAAATACATGGCAGCCTTGACATTTACTGTTCTTCTTTTGCTTTTTTTTTTTTTTCTTTCCCTTTTGGCATTTGGAGCTGGGGATTCTGGCTGAGGCATCTGTGTGCGGGTGCAGAGACAAGAATTCTGTCTTCACTTGAAATCAGGAACTGGGTTTGTGTGAACGAAATGTCACCCACTCCCTCCCCTTTTCTCTTTGAATACTATTTTACATCTTTCTTCATTCTGGCTCCCCCTTTACCCCTCCCCACCCCCAACCTGGTAGATGGGACACCAGGTGACATCCCTCAGTACCTGCGCTTCTCTGGGGCTCCTGTGGCGTGCCTCGAGGGGCGCGGGAAGCCCTCGTAGGACCAGACACTTTGTTTTCAAGGCTAAGGGTGCCTTTTGCGGATAGGCCTAGGCACCACTAAGCCTCTCTTAGAGCAGTTCATTTCTGAGGGGTCTGAGTTCCCTCTCAAGCCTGGTGATTTTTCACTTTCTCGGAACCTAAAACTCGGTTCTGGGTGCCGGCGCCCTGAGTGGGAGGGTTGATAACCTTCGCGT